GCCGGCAACGTTTCGTTCGCCAATGATCTATTCCAAGAACTTTTACTTCCGTGTCATATGTCTTGACACAAATTTCCCGCTTCATCAAGTCGGCCTTGCAAAAGCAAGGCTTTGCTTAGCATTTGCGTTCCAGAGAGTGTATTGTCATGTTCCCAAGCATCAAATCCTTTTGCACAACAAAAAGACGCCGCTGAATGGTTTCCGACTCGACAAAATTTGATGCTAGATAGTAAAAGAGCAAATATTTGTATTCGATATAGATGCGACGCTGCTATTATGCGAGGCCTTGATGCTCAAATCGGCTCTTTTCTTTTCTTTTTGAGCTTCGCGCAGTGTTATTAAACCCGCTATAAGCTTATGTCGATTTCGAGCGCTAGACAGGATTCTTAACTGCTTACCCTAAGTATTCATAGATCGGGCAGGACGTATGCGAACGAACAGACTTACACTACACTAGCTGCTCTGATTCGGGAGTGAGCATAGAGTTCTAATCTAATAGCTAGGCTTACTAGACCGAGAGTTGATAAGTGTCGCCTTCTCGATTTAACTTTTTAAAGGGAGCGATATAGCTTCCTATACCAGACTAGATTTTCGATTAAAAGCATTTGTATATAGATTAATAACCAAGTAACCCTAGACTTTCCAACTATACGACTTAGGGGAAAACTTGTTAATACAACGAGTTAAAGGACTCCTAATTTATTAGATAACATGTTTTGTAGATAATAGGGTTGCATTATTGTTACTACTGGTAGTGGGGTGTAGAGAGGGGAATTGTTTAGTTTACAGTTCCTAAAGCTCTTATTATCAAAATAAACAGCCTAATCCTTCTAACCCTAATTAGTTTTATAGGCTAAACCGATATTTTCATTTTCATATTTACTTTTCTCAGCCTACAGTCTAGTTTATACTCGAGTTGACCTAATTGTATATGTGTAAGGTGAACCGTTGGGACTTCTTGTCAATAGTTGTGGGAAACATATTAGAGGTATTATATGGGATGGAATTATGAGGGGCTATAATGCTAAGAGCTTGCTAGAATATTGTTCATGACACACTGTTGGTCATCTCTAGTATATTAGTGTTGACAAGCTTGATTAACCGTGACCGCCGCTTATACGCAAACATCACTCTAATGTCCTGGGAAATCTCACATCCTCAAAACCTCATCGCCACTATCCTGAAACGGTTTCAGGAATGTAGGGTATCCCATGTTATCCATGCTTTGTAGCTCCGAGTCCCAGTCCCATACCTCGAAAGGGGGAATATCGTTTGGGCTGATCGAACCATCAAAAGATATTCCAGTATTTGCTGGATTCGGAAGGGTGCTAGTGTTGTCAAAGGCGGCGGACGGATAGTTTCCACTAGCCTGCGGTTCATGTGTGTCACAAGCCTGCTTTCGCGCCATTGGGTATACTCCAAGTGGATTTAAGATGTACTCTAGGGAATACTGAGGAGGAGTTGGTGCTGGATCTTCCGATGATACTGGGCCTGATGCAATATCTGTCGGTCCTATAGTAGTCTCTTCTGGGAAAAGCTTGTCGAATCGTTTCAGTGCCTGGTTGGCAGACTCGTAATAAAGATCGGCCTTAATATACTTTCGTAAATATTGTAGAATCATGACGTTCTTCTGAAGAATTTCCCGATACTGCTCGCGAAAGTGATTCGGATCAACAGGTTCGGAATATTTCCACGAAGCAAGGGTGGTGACTAGCACACTACTACAAACTTGAATGTGCATTGCATACGGCACGTCAACGAGACTTAGTTTGTGGCATTGCCACAAATTCTCCAGAAGAGATGCGATGTAGACAGCTTTGGTTATACACATGCGATGGCATGCCCTGATGAAGTCGCTTGGAGCGTTCTCCCGAATCCATTGTGTGGCATTATTTGGGTATACCAAGAATGACACGCCCACGCGATATAGATCGTTGAACGTTTGTGAGGTAAGAATGTGTAGCCCAAAGTATAGGCTCAGACGGCCGGATGCCTTAAACAAATATGTGTTTTCTGAGGACATCCGGAAGATATCAGGGATGGATGTCTCGAAGGCCCGAAGCTCTCGGTCAATCTGAGTGAACTGTGAGTCCTGGCTGGCTTCCCATGGGACTTCGCCATCCAGATGCTTCACATATTTCAGTACTCTTGAACGGATGGCCATTCCTCTGACATAAAATGCCCGCAGATCGAGGTTATCTGCGGCGGAAAGACTCAAAGGTAGCCCGATGAAAGGAAGTAGCTTCCCTCTATGTAGCATTTCCGTGACACAGGGCTTATTTCTTATGAATAGGTCTTCCGAGCATGGCAACTGGACCTGAATATCCTCGGGGCAGAGGAACTGTAGCTGATCGATTCCACACTCAATGAATGCATCAAGAAGATAGCAACACCACAGGAGCCGTCTCCTGCTTTCTTTGACGGCCCAGGATACCGTACTTCGCTGGCAAAGGATGTCGTAGTCATGCTCGAGATTCAGCTGCAATATTTGGATATGTCTAGCAATGAGGCCAGAAAGCAGAAATCCTTTGGCGTAGTCACCACACCGCAAGTAATACTCGTGCAGAAGGACCTCGGTCATGAGACACTCAATGGCGGGGGTGCCCAGATTCGAGAACACAAATTGCATGGCTGTTGCAGCCCAGCCTTTGCCAATATCAAAATACCGGGTGTCGGGAGTGATCTGTTCCCCCTTGACATCCACAGTCTCTGCATAGTAGAAGGGAGCTGCCAAAGCACACACAACATACATCAATCCCGAATTCTCCTCGTATACACGTGCCGGGTCTTTGAGACGTTCCATAAAACTGGGAATGTGTAGGAAGCCTAAGCAACGAGCGGCATGAATCCTGGCAAAATAAATATCGACAAGGTCGCGGATCCTGTCAATGGGCGGCAGGGTTGTAGCTGTCAACCATGATGGCACGGACTCGGAAGGCACCAAAGCAGAATGTCCTGGTCGGGCCGGTTCTGAGCCGTAGTAGTAGCATGCCACCTTTTTCTTCGTGCATCTCCCGCAAATAAGTCCTCCAGAGCACTTTGCTTTTGCTCGCTTACATTCTATACAGGAGCGGAGCATGCGGCGGCGCTCGAAGCCGGCCTGTGTGATAGAATCGCCAGCCGCAACACGATCTTGGGCGACATCCGGACCGGCATCCGTTGAATAAACGCACTGCGCGCCGAACTTGCGGCACTTATTGCACGCGCTTATCGTGCGATCGCACTTGACCTACATCGTAGTGAGTCTCGGGGCAAATTGGTTGATTGAGACAAGCTTTGGACTTACCTTACGTTTGCGGCACACTAGACAGCTGACGGGTTCCTTCTCATCAACCATGTTCAACAAAATCTTGTCAATATCACCAAGCAAAGCCGGGTATCGTGGAGACTTCTGCTAGATAAGGCAACCTCAGGGTACTACACAGGATGTGGGTCTTAAGAGAGGCCAAGCACGCAAGCACTTGAATAATTGACGTTGACGCTATTAATTTTGCATGGCGCTGCCGAATTCCGGTGTCATAGCGGATATCGGCCTCGCCATTGAAGCTATCCTCTCATCACGAGTAGGGACTACCGTTAGCAAACCACCCCCTGATTGTGCTTTGTATAAGTAAGCTTGACCGGACATTGTCTCAACAAAAGCTAGAGGATTTACAATGCTCAACTATCAAAGCTTCCAGCAACATCATACCCTATTACCAATCATTCAACTCTTAGGCTTTTGTTAATGACATATTGGCGAGTCATTCGCACGGCCAACCTGAGATATTCAACATTCGGACATAAATATGCTGGCAAAATCTTTCCTTGTAATGGCCGTCAGTGCCAGTGTCAGCTTCGCATCGCGTTGCTCCGGGGCGGAATTCTGGGTTTTTGACAATACAGCCTACGTAAACACGTCAATCGGCTACGGAACCACTAACATCAACTGGGTACCGAACTACGTATGTAGTCCTTTGGTCAAGGGAGGAGTTCTACCTTCGGCCGAAGTATGGAAGAATATTGTCTTGCAGTGGAACATCTATCCTAGCTATCCTCTGGTTCTCGATTGCGAGGATCTCTACTTTACTTCCGACTCGACTGCCGATCTCCATCTAGACATTCTTTCGGCTCTTCAGACCTGGGCTGCAGACGTGGTTCCCAAAGACCAAATCATTGGCTGGTATGGTTTGTCTGGAAATACCTTGCCGGAACTGTATGGCCATTACCGAAGCCTTATCGCCAATCATAGCAACCATGCCTTTTTCCCGTCGGCATACACGTATACTAGCAGTCTGTCCACCTGGAACAGTTCCCTCAATACTGTGATAGGAAAAATCAAATCCATCAACAGCACCTTACCGATACTGCCGTACACTTGGCCCCAGTACCACAACAATTACTCTTTCTTCCCTGTTGATCTCTGGAAATATGAACTGCAAGTTCTTTCGGAGAACAAAGACGTGAGCGGCTTCGTTATCTGGGGTGGCAAAAATCATGCGGTTTGCAATGATACATGTCAGGCAACGGCTGGCCAACAGCCTTGGTTGAATGCGACCCGACAATTCTTGAAGAATATCTATGGTATCTATAACGGTAGCCCCCAGCTGCCAGGGGCACAGCTATTTGATGGGCTAAGATGCCTGTAAAATTGGAAGCAATGAGAAGTTTAGTATGCGATCCTGTAATTAGTGATCACCGGCTGCCAGTGAATACAATGATCACGCATTTATATCAAGGACTAGTCTGAAAAAGTTAGTTTCCAAGCATATGAAGAAGGAACCGATTTAAGAACTATCGGGGATTTGTTTCGATAATGACGTGAGCGAGAGTGATGTCAAGCAGATCGACTTTTCTAGGAGTACAAAGCATCTCGTCATATTGTAAAAGACACAGTACTAATTTGGTAGAGTATATCGACTAGTCTGGGACATTTGAAATTATTTTCTATCAACTTAGCAATCACTCTATCTTGAATATCATTCACAGCCCCAGAAAAAGACCGGAGACGTACTAGTTTCTTACACTTTGCTAGTTTCATCGCTCTTCTCCTCGGTGTCAGCTACAACTTCGGATGTGAATGTAGCCTTATGGAGAGCTAAGACGCTCGGAATCGCGACCAAAAGACTGCCGATGGTCATGCCCCAGTTCATGGCGAACTGTTTCATAGCGCTAACGCCCACAGCGTTGACTTTCCATGCCATGGAACCACCAGCAGGTTTGAATGCAGAATAAGCACCAACAATAACAGCATTAACCACGGGGCTGTGAGACTGTGCTCCAATGATCCAATAACAATAGGACTGCCAAAACGCATCATATACACCGTAGAAGAAATACAGGAACATGGGACCGAGGAACACGCTGTGAGCCTTGTAGTCAATATCCTGCTTGTGACCATGCTCTAGCCGCCAGTCCTCCCAAATCTGGAATTTGTAACCACCACCCCAGATGGCCATGCCGGTGATGAAAAGAATAGCCCATCCAATCTTGGCTCGGGACTGGCGGTTGAGGAACTTTAGGTCGAGGATGAAACCCATCAAGAGTCCGCCGACCATTTGGGCAATCCAGTAGAGGGCACTGTTGAGCGAGCGTGTGCGCAAATTAAAGGTTGTTCCGTTGACATTGTTCTGCTGGTACGAATAGAAGACGTTCGCGTTGAAGAACATAGGGTAGAGACACATGATTTTCCAGTCAAGGACAATCTTGAGTGTCTGGACGACCGAGGCTTGCAGGTGCGCCAATGTCAACGTTTTCGCTTCCTCGGCAATTCGACCACCGTCATAGTTACGAGAAAGTGACTCGGTCGAGCAGACGAGAATTGAAAGTGCCCAGCCAACAAGCATGATGACGGTATATGCAATGTATGTAGAATCCGTCACGGTGCCAGACTTAGAATGGTAGTTGAGCCCGAAGCTGGCGAGTGAGCCAATAGCGCCGCCAAGGTTGAAAATCACCCAGAAAAGACCGATTGCTCGGCCTCGGGTACTGTCTTTTGTATAGGTGACCATGATGGTACCCTGAGCGACCCAAAAAAAGGCAGCGCCAATGCCTAATAGAGCTCCGGCAGCAATGACGAAGGACCCATTTGCGGTTCGATTGTAATTGAGCAAAGACCCGGCGTACAATGCATATGTCCAACCACCTATGAGAAGCGAGACACGAGGTCCAAGGTACTTGTAGAAAGCCCCTACGAGGAAGAGTGCGGCGCCTGCAGTGCACGCGTGTGTAGCGACATTAGAATTAGCAGCCACGGTGCCGCTGACCTGGCCCGACCCGCCCATCCCCGTGAGGGCGTTATACATTCCAGGGTTGCAGAATGAAATGAAGGATATTAGAACAATTTGGAACCATGGGTCGTGATAGGCTCGGACCAGGAGATTGCCTGAGCGAGGCGATGCTCTGTCGTTGAATTGTCCGGAGATAGCCATGAGAAAGATCTTAAGAGACAAAAGTAGTATTTCGTTCTCTCTCTGAATGAATGGAACGGGGCTTGTTGGTATGTTGATGGAGTATTCAAAGACGAGAACCCATAGCATCTGCAGGTCATTATTATATCAATGTGTGGTAGATAAGTAACAACAGATATCGTATGGCGTCTTAGACGAGGCAATAATTGCTGTAGTGCGGATCGCGGTGCTAGCGAGATCCGCCGTCAAGATACCGACCGACATCCTGAAGTTCTCCAGCCTTGGGCATCCGCTCTCCGCAAGCTGTATGGGTACCGACATCCTGAATATTTCTGAGACCCCATAGCGCTGCATCGCGCAATGTACTTAAACAGGTCCAATGGGCTAAGAAGGGCCATGCAGGGTAAGAATCTTGCAGACGCTAATCCTTGGGTGCTATGGCATCATCCGATGACTCCGATACTTTGGAATGGATTGAAACCGAGACTCCAAATGCGTTGCTAGCACAAAGCATAGACTCCCTCAATACGATAGAGCTCTGTGAGGCCTTCAACGGTGAAGAAGCGCGGGTGACACGCGCCATAGCGCGTTGCCTGCCTACGGTTGCATCGTTACTCGATGAGCTAGTGCCTCGACTCCGGGTTGGAGGCAGGCTCATCTATGTCGGCGCAGGCAATAGCGGCCGAGTAGGGTTTATGGATTGCTCCGAGCTGCCGGCAACTTTCTCAGCGGACCCGAAACAGTTCTTAGCAGTCGTTGCGGGTGGCGCCAGCGCCGTACTTCAGGCCCGAGAAGAAGCCGAGGACTCCGAGGCGGACGGAGCTGCCCAGATGGAAGCTCTAAAGGTGGCTTCCGGCGACACAGTCATTGGCATATCCGCGTCGGGAAGAACACCTTTCGTCATCGGGGCGCTGAAGGTGGCTATCGGGACAAAGGCTCTAACTGCTGGAGTCACCAATAACCACCCGTCCGGCTTTAGTAGACTCAACGTCAAATATGTGATCTCAGCGTTAGTTGGGCCAGAGTTTCTTGCCGGTAGCACGAGGCTTAAAGCCGGCAGTGCGGCTAAGGAGATCCTGAACATGATCAGCACCTGCTCAATGATCAAGCTTGGCAAGAGCTATAGGGGACTTATGATTGATGTTCGTGTCAAGAACAACAAACTCAGGGCGCGGGGTAGAAGAATTGTGCGTCAGGTGTGCGATGTAGGCACGCCATACCTCCTGGGCGCGTACAATTCTCCCTTACCACAACCTCTAGAGCTCACCGGGACTGTCACAGGCGACGCGGCCCTTGATCTTCACATCGAACGATGCGGGGGAAGTGTCAAACTTGCTTGTGCAGTGGCCATCTCTGGCCTCGCTCTAGACACTGCCAAGACTCTGCTTGATCTTGTGGGTGGAAGTCTTCATGAATTTATTCAGCGCCTCCCGAGGCAAGTGGAACCTATGAACTCTCAACTATCCCGCGGCTCCGAGCTTTTTCTTGCGATCGATGGCGGCGGAACAAAATGTACTGTTTCAGTAGCAACACAGTCTGCGATCGTGGCGCGAGCTACAGCAGGAGCGTGCAACATCAACTGTGTTACATTAAGAGAACTTGTTGAGCAGATCAAAGATGCCACAGCACGAGCGGTAGCTATTCTTTCGGAGAAATATCCTCGATCTCTGACAGATAACGGAAACACTGCTCGTTTTAGCAAGGTTTGGGCCGGGGTAGCTGGGCTGCACCACAACTACAACCCCGGAGCATTATTGGGCCACCTCGAAGAGCTTTTCTCTGTATCTGCGCACAATGGGACTCTCCTTCTTACCAGCGATGATATGCTCCTCAGTTCGTGTCCTGGGGTTGACGATTCTGTCGAGCGTGGTATTTCGTTAGTCGCTGGCACAGGATCCGTGGCAACCGCATTCCGGAAGTTGCCTGATGGAGAAGTGATACAGATTGGCCGGATGGGTGGCTGGGGCCATCTCATCGGTGATTACGGCAGTGCTTTCGACATTGGCAAGAAGGCTATACGGGCGGCTTTGACGAGCATTGAGCAGCGTCAAGGAGAACCTAACTACCAGATGGGCGATTTTGAAAGGGCAATTCTACAAACGGTGGGATGTACGGAACGAGAGTTGCTCCCTAACCTGCTCCATCACTCGGAAAGACAGCCAAAACAGCAAATTGCTGATCTTGCAAAGGTGGTAACCAGGCTTGGTTTCAGAAAGCCTAAACCAGACAATCAAGCCTTTGCTATTCTTAGGTCCGGAGCAAGGAGCCTGGTCAAGCTTATCAAGCCGCTAACAAAGAAACATATTTGTGATCCTGACATGAGTGTTCTGATAATGTCAGGAGCTCTTTTGAATATCCCGGCGTACCGGGAACTAGTTTTGGATGAGTGTTTAAAAGCACAAGTGCCACTCTTTAAGAAGGTTCTAGTCATCGACAACCCGTCAGACTGTGCAGCACAATTTCTAGCTAGAAGAAAGATATACATTGGTGATCCGAGATGAAGCAAAAAAGGGAGAGAAGAGTTGGCTACATCTGATTGAAGAAGCAGAGTATCCATTGGAGCGTAGGCAGGATAAGAAAAGTCGATGGACAGGGGAACAAAAGTGACGATGCTCCTCTTTAGGCTAGAAAGCACTGAGATATAAATCCTTGACAGTTGTCCCATTGCAGAATACAGCGCAAATCACAAGCCATCCTGGTTCATATTTAGATTGTTCTCCTCCCTTCACCATACATGCCTACTGAAACATCTAGATACAGATCTTGCGCAGACATCAATCACTATGCGGAGTGTAGGATATACTACACATTGTCCTCTGTGTATCACTTTTAAGATGACCGGCTTGAGTGGCTCTTTCTGTTCGTTTTAGATCTGTGATGAGTAGGGGAAGCTGGACGGAAATGTCTTTCAAAGTTGCTGGCAAATCTTTTGCAGGCTTACAGAAATATTCGATTCGTGTGATGAGTTTGCCGTTGAAATCCACAAGTTACCCAGGTAGATGCTTGACGACACAATCCCCTCTACGGCTAGAGCCTCAGCCGTGATCGTAGCACGCACTTCAACGCTAAAACTGGTGGCTTATACTTTTGAGCAGACCAGTGAAGCTTGCCTGGAAGCTAATTATTCGGGAGTCAATAAGACATCCTAACCAGGATAGTTAACAACGAGAAAGGCAGCCGCGAAGAGATCCATCTTGATGAATGTACGAGTACATGATGGCAAGCAGGGGGGATGCGGCTGAAACTCTTACCCCTGTCCGTATTGCCTGGAAATAACGTTATGAGTGAGCGTCCCCGCATGAGCGAATCCTTCAACTTGCAATCATATCATCCCTGCCCAATTGCAATCGATCTACAAGGTATCCTCTGATTGCATTTGTTTTTTCGAATTAGCGCGTCACCTTCCGCTATCACAAATCTCTTCGAAACAATGCACCGGCACCTCTTAGTTCAACATTACGCTTTTCATTGACAGTGACTTGCCGTGACTAGAATTGTATGATTTTTAGGATACCAAATAAGTCCAACTTTTCCGCCGCGGCTGTCCGGCACTGCCAAGGAAGCCTGCCTGCCTGTTGTGCCACAGCTGTGATGCAACCCTAAATCGAACTAGCACCCAGCCTAAACCGCATGAGATGACCGGGATTGCTGCGCCGAGAACATTACCGAAGAACTCATTTTCAGGTGACTGTTTTGATTAATTCTCTCGATAAACTATGAGCATGGAATGTTTCTCAGTACCAGCCTGCTGATATCGGACTAAGAATGCGGCTAGAAAATATCTTGAGAGCCATCGCGCTACTACCAGCTTTATTAGGTGAGTACCAGAACGCCGATATCGACCACTTCCATTAAATTGTTGGATAGGGGTTGCTAGCGCAGTGGCGTGCACCAATGTCACGATTTCTAGTTCAGACGACGCAGATGAGGTGCGGCGAGATTGCAAGATCATCAAGGGTGATCTGACATTCGCCCCCGACTTGGCTGAAAGCATCAGTCTCGATGGGGTCGAGGTGGTTGAAGGCAGCATCCTCCACAATGGGTGCGAAGATGACCATCAAGACTGCCCTTCTCTGACACCTTTCGAAATCTGGAGCTCTACTATCACCACGGTCAATGGAAGTATTGAATTCTGGTATTTCAACGGCCTGCAGGAGCTAGACTTCTCGGGCCTTACCCTCGTACAGAATGGATTCAACTTGAAGCGAATGCATTATCTTAAAGCGCTAGACATATCGTCGCTCACACGAGTGGGGTTTCTCATAATTGAGGCCCCCAAATTAATGACTCTGAGACATGAGAAACTCGAAGGATTCACAGGAGAGGACGGAGAAGGATCTGTTGCGTTCTGGAGTGCCGGTGTTGACTCCGTCGATAGCTTCTACAGCGCGCCTATCCGGCTTGCCGGAAATTCCGAGCAGTCGAGGTTGTCATTCTCGAGCTATGATCTCCCTAATGTCAGAAGGCTTACCATAGGGTGGGCCAAGGTCGAAGTGGTATCGATCACAGGCGGCGGGTTGAACGTCACTTTCGGTGCTAAAAACACAACGTCAATCGAGATTGGCAGTCTCGAGTTGCACGGGAATCTCACTGATATCAAGCGCGCCTCAAGTCTGAAAAACTTGTCGATTGGAGATTTCACATTCGATGACTCTCGGACGACTACAGAGATTGATCTTGACTTTGACCAAGCATCCAGCCTGAGTATCACGGGGAATTTCGACCTACACACGATCAAGCTCCCGCCTGCCGCTCTGAACTGGCGAGACTTTACTCTAGACATAAGTCAATGCCCAAATTTAACACTTGACTCTCAGTACCGGAATAGTAGCGACAACAGCTCGCAGGAACAGATATGGTACTGGCCTCAGCAAGATATGCAAAGCATATTTATCACAGGCGTGCCAGTATCTGATAAATTCTTGTACGTCGTCTACCGTGTGAACCATAGCCACGTCCCTAGTTACACTCACGCTGACATATGGATTGCATCAAGCGAATCATTCCTGCAGTATAATGCGGAAGGCAGCAATCTCACAAATCCCCCAAAAGTGCTTCAGAGCTTTGATATAGCACCATCCGATGCGCTGAGTTTTAACTGCACGCCTTTCAACGAACTGCATGATAGGGGCGTGTTGCCTGCAGATTACAACTGTACGGATGTCACCAGCAGTGCAGCCCGTGGATTAGCAGCCCACACATTCAGGCTTCCAGCAATGGCGCTTCTAGTCATATATTTGGTTTTGGCTTAATCATCTCTTTACAGTTGAATTATAGAGTTCAGATTTAAATTCGTTCCTGTGCATCATCACTATGGGGCCTTAGCTTACCACCGAAAATACCCATTACCAGACCTTTCCGTTGAAAACAAGCCAGCGCCTTGCCGTTTCCAGATGTCTCCTGACCACGGTTGAATTATCTCAAACCATGAACAAAGCAATAGCTGCAGCCCCCATGAGTGTAGCAAGGGATGCCGTCAATCCAGCCGCACTGTTGCCATTCGTGTTCCCACCACTTGAGCCGCCACCATATGGATTGCCACTCCCACCACCGCCAGATGATGTCGGACTTGACGAAGCTGAGGATCCAGTGGTCGTAGAAGCAGTGTTGATCGTGCCACCGAATACAGAAGCGGGAGATCCGGCGTTATCCACATTCTTGGCTGCGTTCTTGTAATCTGTTAACTGGCTGGAGTTGGCAGGATTGACTACGCCCGACATCCCGCTCTTGCAGTGTGAAAGAGTATTTTGAGAGCAGTAAAAGACAATTGGGTCTGTATCGTTGACCGTTACGGTAAAGACGTTCGCCTAGATAGTCCGATCAGTCTGCTGAGGAATATCGATCTCAATTGATACTACATACGTTCTCGCCGGAGGATGTAGGCATGAATCCAGAGTAGAAACCACCAGATGTAGCAGGAGCACAGGCGTTGCTGAAGTCTCCCATTACTACGCTATGGTTGAGCGGATGATAGTGGAACTCCAGTTGGTCGCCTTTGGCCGCCGTGAGGGTATCTGGAGTGAAAGTGAAACCGTTCATCCCGACATCGATACGATGGATTGCTGCATTGGCTTGTACAGCGAGAGCTGTCACGGCAAAGAGCTTAGCTTTGGAAGACATATTGAGTGGGCTGACAAGTTGGCCGAATTGGACAAGTAGGATAATGAATGATGCTTGATCCAGACTGAGAGAGGTTTTGAGCAGATTGTCTGACTTCAAACTCAACATTAGCGGCTACTTATTATATGTACTGTATCTTCCCTAAACTTGTCAACGGTAAGGGGTATAGCTCGGCATCGAAGTTCTCCGCCGCTAGCGAGGTTGTGTCAAGCTCTTGGTCAGAACTCTTATGGGTTCTACGAACACAGCCTCACGGTGAACATTAACTTCATTTGGTATGCTATCAGATGTATTAGCTGCTTCAAAGAATCAAGGAAGACCATTCTCTCACGCGAGCTAATCCTGGTCATCTCTGACAAAGCTACTGAAATCAAAAACCTGATCTCACGTCAGGGTTGCTCATTGGTCAGCATTGTTATTCTCCTGGACAGATCGGGCAGAGTGGGTTCACCCTAGGTGGTTTCACTAGCACGGCAAGGTGTTGCAATCAGGCGTAGCTCTTGAGCTTTGAGGCAGTGCAGGTGAGCTTAATTCACCGCACCTCTCCTAGTCTGGAATGGCGGATCGGGACTCAAGTATGAATCTCTCCGCTCTTGCAGTAGCTTGGGCTGCGAGACAGATTACTCCGAATCCCGCTGCAGGTCAGTACCTATTCTCGAGTATCAACTCGTAGAGATAGCCAGAAGAGGCATGCAGATTGCTAACGGCCGACGTTTTTACAAAATCCTGTACAAGGCGTTCCGGCGCCACGGGAGCATCTTACGTCACTTGAAGACACGTGCACTGGGTGTTCCTTCGCACTGCACACCACTTTGGGAACGCCAAGTATAGAATTGCTGCATCTCTCACAAGAGGTGATGCACTGTTCAACATTTTTCAGTATTGGTTTTGGGTTGACAACAGTAGGCTGCCTCCCAAACGACCGCCTGATTACTATACAATTTAGAATAATTATCAACTGGAAACTCGCGTTGTCCGTTCCACTCGTAGCAGACGATCACACTTATGAGGCCACTTGGCATACATCGTCTATCGGGCAAAGGCCGGTCTCGAGAGTTATCTGCCTCAGACCTAGTCTCCAGGCCCTGTATTTTGAGTCCTGATTACTTCTTTGTTAGCCTTCAGCACACGTTGATAGTTAGGGTGAATAAAGAGCAAACAAAATGTTGGGCGTGCCAAGTTGTCAGAATTTTCAGTGTGAATATGCAATCATAGAATATCATGAAAGTAATTGTGAAAGGATCATCCTTCGAAGCTTTTGCGAGTGACTGAAGCAGAACGTACCATGAGAGATGCAAATCCATGCCCAAAACGCGACAAATTGAACCCAACAAGTGGAAGAATTGCATTGGAGAAGCGGCTCATGTCAGGCCTTGGACAATTTCCAGAGGCTCTGCCGCGGTTCGTCATAACCTTACCTCAACTCACCACGATCTCTTCTCAGCAAGACTTCTATTGTATGGCCACTTTCCGATGTGCTCATCCAATTAAGTAAATGTTTGAACATCGACTAGCTATGACAAACGTAGGCTGGATACATGTGGCACTGAAGACCACGGTGGTTCGTGACGGCTTGACAATTCGTCGACTTTGCTCACTTGGATACTGTGATGAAAGGAAGAAATTTCTGTGTTGCGCGTAGTGGAGTGGGAGCTTTCCTACAGAGGTTGGATCGTCCCCACTACCTAGCGGGAATGCCCCTGCAGAAAAACAACGCTTGTCTCACCGCCTTCTGGCAAAATCAAGACGCCCCGCAGACTGCCAAAAAAAAAAGTTCCAGAGGATAGGAAGCCAGTGTCTCTATACTCCAACAGCCAACAATCTGCTCAGATCTCGCCGCACAAACCTCCGAGATGTCTCAGAAACAATCGAAGAAGCGCAATGGCGCCTCTTCAAGCAAGATTACGGACTCGCGCTTTGCTAATTTCGAGACAGATCCCCGATTCCGCCTGCCTTCAAGCAAGAAGACGAAGACCACTATCGACAAGCGATTCTCCCGAATGTTGAAGGATGACGACTTCAGCGCAATTTCAAAAGTCGATCGATACGGTCGTAAAATCAAAACAGACACCAAGAAGAAGGCGCTCCAACGTCTCTATCAAGAAGAGGAGGACGATGCCGAGGTTGAGGATGATGATGTTGTACGGAGGGAGCTGGAGAAGGCGGACGCCAAGTACGACCCGGCTCGAGGAGGTGGCTTCTCCTCCTCAGATTCCGAATCGGACTCTGATGAGGATGATGAGGACTCAGAGGCGGAGGAAGTGAAAGCCGATACCGCGCCGGACATGCAGCGTTTCCGAACCGAGCAGGCTGAGGTGCCCACAGGTGATGTCACCAACCGGATTGCGATAGTCAACCTGGACTGGGATCACGTCAAATCTGTCGATTTGATGGCGCTTTTCTCTAGTTTCTTACCTGTTGGTGGTCGCATTGAGAAAGTCGCCGTCTACCCCAGCGAGTTTGGAAAGGAGAGAATGCAGCGCGAAGAGCTCGAGGGGCCTCCCAAGGAGATCTTCAAGAAGAATGCTGCTGCAGAGGAGGACAGCGAGGAAGCCGAGGAAGACAACAGCGATGAAGATGACGAAGATGTGGATAGTGATGAGGAAACAAAGAAAGAGCTGCTAGAAGAAGGCGACGATCAAGATTTCGACAGTGATGCCCTACGCACATATCAGCTCGACAGGTTACGGTACTATTACGCTGTCGTGACCTGCTCCGACAAGAATTCGGCACATAAGATCTACCAGGCTACTGATGGTACGGAATACCAGTCATCATCAAATTTCCTAGATCTACGATTCATACCCGAGGATGTCACGTTCGATGATGAGCCTAGGGACGAGTGCGATGCCGTGCCAGCAGGCTACAAGCCGGTCGAGTTTGTGACTGACGCACTGCAACACTCGAAAGTCAAATTGACTTGGGATATGCACCCGGAGGAGGCTATGCGGAAAGAGTCCATCAAGAACGCCTTCTCGGGAAGCCGAGCAGACATTGCAGAAAATGACCTTCGGACTTATCTCGCCAGCGATAGCGAGGATGACGATGACGATGAGGCGGCTGAGGAGCAGCTGAAGAGCGAAGCAGGAGAGGAGCCGAAGCTGAGTAAGAAGGAACTTGCAAGGCGCAAGATGCGTGCCGCTCTTGGCTTGAGCGAAGATCCTACTCCCAAGTCGTCGAAGTCTGCACCCATTGGTGGTATGCAGATTACATTCACTCCTGCCTTATCAGAAGTGTCTTCTGGTAAGAAGCAGGACGAGCAAGAAGAAACCACAGTAGAGAAGTATCTGCGCAAAGAGCGAGAAAGGAGAGCTAAGCGAAAGGAGAGGATGTCAAAGACCGATGGCGACGACGCGGGCGCTGCTGGCAAAGACGGCCAAGCTGCAACGGAAGACCTTGGCTTTGATGATCCCTTCTTCACTGCCGAGGAGCCTACCAAACCCACAAAGTCTGCAGTTCGGAAAGAAGAGCGGCTCAAGAAACGCGAGATCAAGGAGGCGGAAGAGAAACAAAATGCAGCCGAGAAGGCTCAATTGGAGCTCCTCATGGCAGACAACCCTGACGAGAATACCGCTCATCTTGACCATTTTGACATGAACGAGATCATACGAGCTGAGAAACACAAGAATAAGAAGAAGAAGAAGAAGGGCAAGAAGGCCATTGAAGACCGTGGAGGTTTGCAAGATGAATTCAATATGGATGTTGGAGATTCGCGTTTCAAGGCCGTCTTCGAGAACCACGAATTCGCCATCGATCCTTCGAATCCGAAGTACAAGGCTACTCAAGGTATGAAAAAGCTTCTGGAAGAAGGGCGGAAGAAGAGAAAGACGATTAGCGATGAGGAACCTATTTTGCGCCAAGAAGGTGCGCCGAAGAAAGCCAAGCGGGATGATTTGGGTGGCCTTGTAGCCTCCATAAAGAAGAAATCTGGTGGTCGCAAATAGCTGAGACCATAGTAATAAGATACCCGTGCAACACATGTGTATTCCTGCAGTTATGCTGGTGAGCTTGTGACCACCTCAAAGTCAGCCTGCTTTTTGACTCATGCCACTTGCATTACTTGGCGCCAATGATTCGGGGGTACTGGTAGCACAACATACCTAGTGTAGCTGGCCGGGCCTCAATTTCAGCCTCTTATCAGTCAACAGTGTGTGACCTGCATGAAAAGAACGCTTTGCCGTCTCAGGTCCCTTCTATTTCTTTCTAAAAAAAAATAAGAATAAAAACCATTCTCTTGAGCACCTTGCGCGTGTTCCCGGCCTCTTCTTGCAAAAAAGGCATATCCATCGAAGACGTCAACCAACCTTTGTTTTCCACTTCTCATATTTCTAGTCCCTTCTTTGATTGTAGCCATGTTCAAACAAATAGCAAAGGCATCTACAGAATCGGCGTACGATGCTGCCCTAAACGGGCTCAGCATGGCCAAAAGCGCGGTCTCGAGCCCAACAGTACAGCAAGGTTTATCTGCTGTGGCAGACAAGTCAGGAAATGTAAGATCCGCGCAAATGTTTCATTCTGGTTTCGGATCTAACATTCATAGTAGACCGTAGCATGGGTCGCCGAAAATAAAGGCACGGCTGTTGCTGTCGCCGTTGCGGGCGTCGGTATTACTGCTATCGCAGCTCCTGCTGTGTTCGCAGGCGCAACATTAGGCGCGGCTGGTTTTGGCCAAGCAGGTGTCACTGCAGGTGAGGCTGCCTTCTAATGATTACGCCCCTTCTACCTCTCAGCGTGCTCTATTCTAATACATAAGCTCTCTTCAGGTTCTGTTGCCGCTACTGCCCAGAGCTACCTGGGATCAGTGGCCGCAGGCAGTGTGTTCTCGACACTCCAAAGCGCAGGAGCAGGCGGACCCGGGGTAGTTGCCGTCAATTCCGTTGTACAGGGTGCTGGTGCTGTGGTCGCTGGGACTGTCGGGGGAATCATTTCGTGGAGCAAGTCAAAGATGTGACGCTCGGGTTGCAATACTTAAGGATAGCGGAAATTATCATTCTGTGACCAAAGTCTTCGTCACAGGGCAGCTAGAGCCATCCATGGGTCTGCAGTCATAGACTCTACTAGAGAGACATATGATACGTTGTGAATCCCTTTTTACTGCATGTTCTAAAGAACTTTGGACTCGTGAGCTACCTTTAGCATTTTTTCACTGTTAAAAAGAACTCATACTCATGATATCGAAACAATTCTAGCTTCATGAACATCCGAAGCATCAATGGATAGGTATTTTGATTATAGTATATTCGTCCCGCTCTCATGCTACTAGGATCCAAAGCAACTGTGGTATGATGGCTGCTGATATTATGGATTTGATCTTCTGGTTTTTCTTGGATTGGTTGGCTTCAACGACGCTTGAAGAATCTGGCTCCCGATTTCCTTGAAACGTGATTCTAAAGCCTCATTATCAAGAGGTTGATTGGTACTATTGTACCATGTATCCGCCCCTCGGATTGGAAGGTCGCTGATGATAGTTGTCAATTCTAGTCTCTTGACCGTTTTCACATAATGACACTCTATGTGCCACGTTCCATTGAGCCGTAGGTCTTTGGTCACCTCCAGGTGCTCGCTGAGAATTGGAAGTGAGCAGCCAACACACGTGGCGGCATGCCTAAGAGTATAGTGCGTCAAGCAATACGGTTCGCCATCCACCTCATAATAAGAATCCGTTGCCCCGAATCCTATATCACAGGATTCTTTAGCACAAGTGAAATGATCGAGGTGGTACTTCTTATCCAATGTACTGATGTACGAGCCCCGTAGAGCTCTCCCGCAACTGAAGCATAATAAATCCAGTCTGCGAAAGTAATCGGTCTCACAAAGATATTCTAAGGTCTCAGGCTGTGGGAAGAACTTCTCACAGATCCCAACATTGCAGTCCTAAATGATGAGTTAGCTGCTTTGTGATGATAATAATCAAGGGAGCTTACAGCGCAGGTGAAGCATTCTAGGTGAAACTTTCTATCTGACGAGTCGTTCTGCAACGTATTGTGCCAAGGTGCCGGTGCCTTTACGAACTGGCCAGTCAAAACCTCGTGACACTTAAAACAGATTTTGGGAGATTTCTTGGGCGGTTGATCAGTTGGTTCAGACTTAGCCATGTCGTAACCGTTGGCTGGCGTCATGTCTGCGGTCTGCTGAATCTCTTCTGGCTCCGAAACGATGTTGTCATCCGGACGAACAGGCTGTTGTGTATTAGTGGTTTCTTGAACAGTGTCCTGTGTGTTCTTCCAGGTGGCGCCCTCCTGCAGGGTCAGATCCTGTAAATCTTGCAGAACCTCCGGCAATGGGCCCGCGTCTTGAGATACGGAAAGCCCGGGTAGACGTTCAGTCAGGTCGATGAGATCACCGACTGCGTCGCTGTTAAGCTCCATTCGGGCCCTAGCATGGCCGATCATTCGTCTGTACACCTGGCTATTGATAATCATGTCATCGAATTCAAACTCGATCTCTGAAGGTGCCATAAAGCTAGCATCATCCCGTGTAATGGTCTGATCATCTCGATCCATCGTATCATATATGGAAGCCGGGGCATGAACTCCAGGATTTGCATTTCGGAGGGACTGTGTCGCGTTTTTCGACACCCCAATTGCTCCCTGGTTACGGTCAAGCATTTGCCTTATATCGGTGAGGGTATCCCTATATGGTTTGTCAATCAATATTACCAATAAATAATGGATATAGCTATACATTTGAAGGAGTTGAATCAGGAGACTGATAGCCGTCTGTTGCCCTCTTAGAGCAGTCAAGAGCTCTTGTAGTTTTGATTCATTCCACACAGTTCTGATAGCGACCCTCCAGTTGAGTCTACCCGAGGATGATGTAGATGCCGTTATACGCTGAATTTCTCGTTCAAGACAGCTGTACAGCACCATGCAGCCGGTCAAGGCCGTATCAAGCGCCATAGCTACATCTGTTCTGGTCTTCCAGGCTTCTGCCAAATCCTGTCTCTGGATCAAAAGACCCTGGATTTGGGAAAGAGATGCGCCGACCACAGTCGACTCGGAACATATTGACACAACAGTCATAGGAGCATCCTTGAGCTTCCCTTGTAAATCATGCAACTTCTTCGTTGTTGACAAGCATGTTGCCGTGAGCCCTACCTAGTTCGCCGGTCAGTTTGCCACCTCAACAGCCCGCACTTGATGCTCGCTTTGAAGAAGATCTGGAGGCATAATAAAGACTCACAACAGTAGAGGCAATCGAAAGAGGGTCCATCTTAAAGTCCTATCTTCTCCGACGCAATCCGCGACTGACATGATTGTAGGAAAGAAGATGAGTTGCAAACTTGGGGCTGCCTGATGCCTCAAGGTGGCAGAGCCTCGCGGCCCCCAACTAACCTCATGCATCTCCAGCTGAATAGCACTGGCAGTCAGTTGGTTCGGAGCCGGTGACCCAATGCAGCTTAGCAAAAGGATCTGATAAAGACACCATCCTTTTGTGAATGTCAATTCTAACCAGTTCAGTTTTAACCATCAACTCCGACAACATGGCTTGCAAAACACCTAACTACGGGAAAGACTCAACAAATAAAATGATCGTAACTTCTATTGTGTTTTCGTAGCCGCCTTAGCAGCTCCATTCTCGAAACGTCAATTAAAGCTCGTCCGCCTCACCAACACCTCCACTCTTGAATTTGTCGGTTGTAGACGGGAGTTTGTCAGACTAAGCAACGGCGGCGTAGGGCCAGGACGGGCAACTCCGCCCGCCGCCAATAGCTTCCTATGGGCGCCTACTCTGGCACTTAAACCGCCTAAGGTTCGGCCCACTATACAAACTACGGCGCTAAGAAGCCTGTCACTCTTGTTCTGCGCGGTGCTGTCGATCTCTGAAATCAGCAAGTTGAAATTGGTCGCTATGTTAAGCAACCACAATGATCGCAACAATTGATTCAAACCAACTTTGTAATAGAGCACCCTTTGCCTTATTTGAAGTGCTAGAGAAATGAACCTTCAGTAAACCCAAGTCCGCGGTGGTAATCGCTGTAGTGCATTACCCATAATTACTCGGTTTGGTACCGTTGTAGTGGGGAACCCATAGCATCCTGATCATCACGAGTTTAGAGGGTTCCTAGACCAATGAAAGTTTACTACCATTTGCCAGAACAGAGGGTACACCCGCCGCTCCATATTCCAACTGCAATTCTGTCATCGTCAATGTCATGGCTTTTGAAGCAAACCAATTCTCTCACTTCGCTTAGATCTTTACTAACACGAGCATTTTTAGAAGCCCGTAGCTTGCATCATTATAGTGATAATACTCCATGTCCTCGAGTGGACTAGGATCTGGCCTCCGCAGCTCTCCAAAGTCTCTACGTCTGTCGTCATGGGCGGTGGAGACACTTGTATGGTGGTCACTGACCTGACCATAACATTCCTGCCTGCTGGCGAGAATCCTTCAACCAATAAGCGGAGTAGAACTACATGGCATCGCATAGAGAAGGATCTCTACGTGGGTAGTGGGCACAAGACGGCGTGGCTGCAAGTGGCTTCGACCGCCGAGGAGTCTATCACCCCGGACGATTTGATGGTAACGGACATCACAATTGATGAGGCTGCGCCAAGTCCAGCATGGGGAGAACGGCCTGGTGGTATCTGGCTGCTCAGGAACAAATACTCTAACCACCACGACCAGGTAGTAACCGAGATCGATGCTCTCTTCGGTACAGATGCTGTTGACCCTCGACCACAATGGTCTCTCGTTCACCAGCCTCTACGGCTGGACGCGCTATCCGAGGTGCCCGCCGCAAGGCTTACCGTACGGCACGGCAGACCGAAGCCGAGGCCTGCGCGGGCTACGCTGAGGGCTAGGGCCGATGGGACATTCAAGATTGTCCAGATCTCTGACACGCACATGAGGGCTGGCGTTGGAGCATGTAACGATGCACTTGGCCCTGATGGACAATCTCTGCCTGTGATGGAGGCTGACTCTCTCACCATGAAATTTGTCGGAGAGATACTGGATGGCCCTTATATTTTCCTACTGCGGTGGGTTCTTCTTGCTTGCCTTCTGCTTCTCTGCTTCCTCCAGTTCTGCATTCGCTATCTCTGCTTTTTCGATGAAGTTCTTGACATTCCAATCTGGGTTGTAGTATAGCTCGACTTGTCCAACTTCATGAAACTCAACAATCTCAGACAAACCCATATTTGCAAGATCGAGATTAGCCCACGTGCCACGGAATGCATGTGCTGGTATCCGCCCGTAAGTCAACGCCCTCTCCAAAAGCTCCTCCATAACTTTATCCACAATCCCCTCATTCATTTCTGGTATCTTTGAACCATGCGTCTTGAGAATCTCATTCAAGTCCTCCGTGTTGCTGGGGGCATAAAGAAGAGTGTAATGGTCTGGATGGGCGACAATAACCTTCTTTTCATCGAGGCATTGACGATCAATGAAAAAGAAAAAGTCTGGCGTTTCTTCGTCTGCATTGTCGCGCATATCCCTATACAACCGATACAAGTCATCCATATTGCCGTCAATGTCTCCAGTCCAGGGTACGATCTTTGGCTTGACCCATGGCATATCATCATCCTCGTCAACGGCCGTGGAAAGCGCCGCTAGGATCAAGTCTTCTTCTTCCTTCGTAAGCTTCGTAAGGCCATGTACTGGAACAAATTCGTCTTCCATCTCCTCGTTCGCCATTTCGCTTGCTGGAAGAGGGATTTGGAATTCCTCGCCGTTGACGCCCAGAGCTAGAAATGCAAAAAATGCGAATAGGGTGATGACGAATGATGCAAGATGCGAGCTGCCTTGAAGCAGAAGCATTGTAAGCTTGAGGGAAAAGAAGCCACCAAATTGAAGGTCCTGAGTAAAAGCAGAGCTCCGCTACATTAGTTCCATGGAAGTTGGGGTGCTTAAATACAGTATCTTAATAGGTAAGTTGGTGGGTCTCCTAATGTAAGGTAGGCTGTGCCTTGCTGCCTGCAGGCTGTGGCTAAGCGCAACTGGATTCAGTGGGTCTGAATCCTTCCCTGCTAGCCACGAACCCTCTAGATATACGCAAAGCAATTAGTTCTTATGGTGCCATTTGTTACGAGTGGAACAAGCTAAGCCTCAGGTATATTAAAGCTATCATGTCTCTATTTACACTGATCATCGGAGAAAAATGAGTATCTTAACGACATTCAATTGACAACGCGACCGACACCGAAGCTTGTATTCGGAAAGCCGAATCATCCGCGGTATCATTGAATACCTTTATTGGTATTATTAGAATTTGAATGGTGATGCTACGCTAATTACAGGGTTTTCAACGGATCCGGAGGCGTAGGGTAGTCCTTCATGCTCTTTTCAAATGCTCGCCGCAGCTTTATCATAGGCTGAGCTACCCAAGTGTTATACGCCAGTATGTCGGTCTCTTCTTTAGGATCTCTTGTAATATTGAAGAGATAAGGAGATTCCAGTCTGCCGGAAGACTTGTTAACCTCCGGCTCCCAGACGTAATGCATCTTCCAGTCTCGCCACTTGATTGCCCGAAGCTCCTGCTTGATGTAGAAGCAAAATCCCTCGCGTGGCGACTTAGCAGTCTCAGGGTTTCGGAATAGGGGCATTTGGTCTACTCCGTCTATTGGTCGATCTTCTGGTAATTTCGAGTTTGTAACACTGATGATGGTACTGAACAGATCCGTCACATGGACAATTTCATTGGAAGTGATGCCAGCGGGTACGCGGCCTGGCCACCTTATAATGAAAGGAACTCGCAAACTGCCTTCCATTGCTGTATGCATGGTTCCTGACCACGGCCCTGCTGTTCCCCTCCATGGCACACGGAAGTCGGGTCCATTATCTGACGCAAAGATAACTATTGTGTTGTCCCGCAGACCCAAAGAATCAATGTGATCTAGAAGTTGGCCCACCCGATAGTCCATTTCCGCCATAGAGTCTGCAAAATCGCCTTGTTTTGTGGTGCCTGCAAAGTCTTTATGCGGCAGTGTCGGGAAGTGCAAGTGGACCAGGGGATGATAGAGAAAGAATGGCTGCTTGTGATTTCGATTGAGCCAGTCCTTGGAGCACTCGACTAGTTTTTCATCAATTTTTCGTCGCTCTTCGATATCATATTCGCAAACGATTTCAGACGGAGATCCCGCCTTGCCCTTCATAACATAGGGCGTTTCGACCACATCTGGGTCGAAACCCACAGAGGACGTAAATTGAGTTTCATCCGTCGTCCGAGGAATCCCAAACCACTCATCAAAGCCACGATCGCTAGGATAACGACCCTGAACATCACCCAGGTGCCACTTGCCTTGATGGGCACTCACGTAACCATTCTCATGTAAGACTTCCGGAAGCGTTTTTTCCCAAGTCTGCAAACCCTGAGGAAATCCAGCTGGTACCGACTGCTGACATCCAGTACGGATCGGATGTCTTCCTGTCATCAGCGCTGAGCGTGTAGGCACGCAGTCGCTTTCCACATTGAAGTTATGGAGCAGAAGTCCCTCTTTGGCAAATGCATCTATGCGCGGAGTTGCCGCGCCTCGAAGTATACCACCACCATAACAACCCAGTTCACCCCATCCTAGATTATCTGCCAAGATCAGGATGACATTTGGTTTCTGAGGGTCGGTAGACATCGTTACGACACGACAGCAAATGTAAAGTGTGAGGGGTTTTTCATAGATAAGGCTTTGGCGGCGATCACGGAGGGATGGGCATGCAAGCGTGAAGTATAGGTATAAGATCCAGGCTCCCCCGAGGGTTACACACTTTAAATTCGCCATTGCAGCCATACATTACGCGAGACACCGGAGGACAATTTTCGGGCTTGATCTCCAGGGTCCTTTTTACGGACTTGCAACCCCGGGAAGCAAGACGGCCTAGGCCGAGTCGCACGGAGTCCCGTCTCCGTGGTCCGTGCACCATACGCCGCATATTGCGGGGCCGTGTTTAGGGAGTTATATCAGACGGGAGCAACCATTCACACAAGCGGGACGCCAAAGAAAGCTGGAAGCAACGGTCCTAGGGCTGTCTCTAGGTCCGGAAATTCATATCAAAACAATCACCTTGGATGTGGAGCATACACAAGGAAGAGAACCTCTATGTGGACACTCCCCTTGTTGCAAGCCTGTACAGGGCGCTTATTAAGCTAGGCTGCGTACTTCAGTCTCCATGTTCAAGATGTCATTGATCTCCAATCTGCAGTATACCAGATTTTCTGGGTTCGGATGATGGCCTACGTGAGGCAAAGCGCCATCGCAGCCGTGATCATTATCAAGCACAACCTAGAGAATACGTCGAAGCTACCAGTAGCTTGGCTTTCTGAATGAGGGGGCTCAGCGGAAGCATTCAAAGCATGAAATCCCCAGCATTCGTACGCAATACTGCCTAGGACATCCTGTTCATGAAGCCGATCGAATCGTTCACAGTCGATTGACTGGTTCGTGGTATCGCATGGATTTTGTACCTGGAAAGTAGTTGGCGTGGTCTTATTGACCAGCAGCGTTTCGCTAATATTCCATGTCAGAGGGTCTGGTTTTATTCTTAGGACATTGTATAGTGGTAATCTTGCAAGAACCTTTCAGTGACTTGTGCGGAAATTACTAGTTGACTCATGTCGAACTCTGTCCACCACCAGGTTTGCACCTTGTTTCCACTTGTATCCGCGATATATTGAGATGACAAGTTGAGTGTCGGACAACCAGCAATGCGACTGGAAAGATGTCCAGCAATGGCATCTGATCCCCATCGAAGGCCCAGTGGCGTATTCCGAAGTTCTTCGAGGTGCTCCTCGTCCCTGATATAGAGCACGTTCAGGTCCTCTTATGGCAATGATAGCTCTGTTATGTTGTTGCCACCATTGGAAGTGAATTGTTTGATCCGAATATGCTCGGCTGATGGATGATGCTCGACCGACCGGATACCATGCTTCAGTATAAGTGAGCTTATTGTAAAGTTGACCGTGGATGGACCTCCCAGCGTTACAGATAAATTATCATTCCCCGAGAGAGAAATGAGTGAAGCAGAGGAATTTGGCCGGGTGTCTAAAATCAAAGTATCCAGATTAGGCAGCGATGATATCCGAAGTTCGTCAATTGACACACCCACCGTCGTGAGGTTGTCGAGCGAATCCATTTGACCACCCACAATCTCCAGGTAACTCAGATCATCAAAAACTGTCTCATGCACGACCTATTATATCTAGCCTAGTCTCATCTTGAGTTTATGACTGTATCATAATTGCAGCACTACGGTTTACCTCAAAAATTCCTTGGACTCTTGGTGATGAAACCAAAGCCACACATTCTTCCCAGGCCGATATACCTCTAATCTCTCCCGATCCCGTCAATGACAGCACAGCATTCAAGGGGTTCTTCACCTCGAGATATCCTCCATCTGTTGGAGATATTGACTAGTTCATAGCAACCCATGGTAGCCCATGCCCACTTTACCAAGAATTGCGGAGTAGCTTCCCAACTTTCCTTAAGATAAGGCTCGCCCCATAGAATTAGCCCTTCACCGTTAAGTGCAGTCTTGTCATCATATTCGTTATCACAATCCCTTGAATTCCCCTGTAATATTAGCCCCCGTTGTCGCTGCACTCTTGACGGTGCTCGTTCTACCAGATCACCAAGAAGGTCTCTCAAGAATTGTATGTGGTCGAAGGAATGCTGCCGACGGATAAGATTGTCCCTGAGTTCCGGGAATGGCAATACATCCATCCAGCCAGGGTGTGGTGAATTCATCTGAAGGTGTGTTGGTTGAAGGCAAGGAGGCAATCGGTGGCGAGTCGGCCTGAGTACAGCAATCTCACAAGCTCCTGAGAAATCAGGATGTAATGGCGGCTTCTGAATAGCGTTGACAAAATTCGCGTCAAGTTTTAACACCGTTTTATTGGAAGTGAAACCTCGGATTACGTTGTGAGTTATCAGGTGTATCAGGAGGTGGTCATTAGCTAAAGGAATTCGGGAATTATAGCCTGGCTTGGAAGTATGTATAATCTTCTCGGGAGCTGCTGCTACATGGAATTGTGAGGGCTGCCTTTCGCCTTGAGGAACTTGTTCGTGATCGGTATGGCCATCTCGACAAGCGATGGGCAGGGAAGCTTGGGTCGAAGAATCGTCAAGTCGCCAACGATCAACGTGATAACAAGTCTTCCCGCCTTTGAAAGTAGTAGCTTCTGCAGCTTTTATGCGATTTCCTAGCCGTCTCTCGGTTTAGAAAAAGCCTCTTCTATAGATTTGGCACTCTTACTACGGGCTCTCTGATTCAATCGATTTTGTAACGTCTTCCGTTCTTTTCGCTCTTCGGGGCTGAGATTTTGATTGGCGCTTTTCATGCTAAAGCGTGGAACAAAGTTGACATATTAGATTCAAACCTCAGACTCGAAATTCGGAGAGAATTGCGCATTGCATAGTCAGAACTGACGTTCCCGTGGAGCTGGAGAGTCATACTAGGATGAATTGACGGAGTAAACAAAATGTAGTCGATCGAACTAATATTGATGAAGTTAAAGTTGTCAGCCCGGCTTACAAATAACATGAGACACAGACTTTGACGCTATGGCGAAACGGGCAAAAGCTGTCAGCCGGAGCCTTCCGTTATGCCGACCAAAAGAAGAAAGTACTACGATCTAGGGGACCATGTACCGACACTGTAAAACTCGAAAGTTTTAAGTGAATCTACAAGAAAGCGGAAAGCATGAA